TATCATTAGGGAAATAAGTACATAAATTATGGTTTATCAGGATAATGAGATTAAAATTATGTTTATAAGGATTTTGTAATGATATGGAAAGTTATACTAAAATCGCAAACAAAAACATGTAATCTACACAATCTGTGTACTGAAAGATGACTGAGTAAGAATATGCTAAATTATAACAACAGTTTGATATTTAAGATGATTGTCAAAAAATCTGAGGAATACAGAAAAACTCTAAAGAAGACCATTATAATGGGCAATGTAAAATATCTATATCCAGAAAAAAAAAACTAATTAAAAAGAAAAATTCAACAATTTCTAATAATAGAAGTAGCACAGCTTAGGAGTAACAGCTGATCTCTATTGGAGCAACACTAAAGAGAAGGTTCCCAAAAATCTGACATTAGAGTTCCATCTAAGTCATCACTGTCAATATATCCAGTCCAAGTAGCATAACCAAATCCTTCATATTGAAACCACTCATGATTTTACCAGGCAATTTGGAATTGTCCCTAATGGTTTTCCAAGGTAATCTGGATTGGCTATCCACAAGCAAAGAATGCTTAGAGATGATCATCCTGGAAGCAGAAATGACCATGGGAATTTCTTAACATTTCTGAGCAATATTATGGTTATTTGGTACAGTGGCAAGAAAAAACAGTCAACGTATGGGGAAGAAATATTTCAGCTAAACAGCAATAACAATTTGCTGGTAGTAGATTAACATCCTACACTAAATAACATCTTCATCTATAAAGCTTAAAGCATTGAATATTACCCGTTATCATGTTCAATGGAGGGGTGGAAGCTAAATCAGTAAAGTCAACTGCATAATCTCTAGGTACAAGAAAGAACAATGGCCATACAGGTACCTAAAATTCCAAATTTTATAAAGAATCCCTTTAAACCCCTTTAAATCACACTTTTCAGTCTTGCTGCTGGGTTGGTAGATTTTAAGCTCAGGTTATCTTATTTCCCCTAATGATCTCAGGTAGAAATCAGTGCAGACTTAGTGGGCCTTCCAAACCTGCACATAATTCAGTTCAAGTTGCCAAATCTCACAGAACAGAAACAGAAAAGTGTAAGAAACCAAGAAATCAAGGTCCCTGAGCTTTGTGGAGTGAAAAGAAAGTTACAAGGAGTCTTGGTAACACTGAGTAATTAATTGTATAGTCATTGACACCATCCTCCTTTTCTTGGGGACTGATTAAACCTAGAGAGAGGCACAGAACAAGAGCATTTAAGAAAAATTCCAAACACAGGTGCATTCCAGTAGAGTACCCTGCTTACTAGATGTATGCACTGAATAACAAATATTTGAAGACCCACAGGGTACCAAGCCCAATTTTATATACTGGGTATACAGCAATTATCAAGACAAAGGGTTTGCTCTCATGAGGTCTACACCAGTAGAAATGCTAGTATAAGCAATTCACTAGGTGAAGTGACTTACACTAAACTTTGAAAACCAAATAAATACCTGCAAACGACGAAAAAAAATATTTCTCAGTCAACTGGATATTTAATAGGACAAGATTAGCAACTTTATTTTGTTAAGAAATGAAATGGAATGTAATTTGAGACTTGGAAACAGAAATAGGGCAAAGAAAGATAGACATGCCCTGATTCCAAGAGACGGGGTGAACGAGGGAACTCACCAAAGCCTCACAATGATTTTTTCCTCTAATGATACTCCGGCAATATCAAAGTGGTAGCTTATGAAACAAAGGACTTAGAGAATTCTTTTGCAGATTCTCCGATTTCTACAGAACTATGATCATCTCCTAAGCCTAGAGAGCAGGAGTCCTTACCCAATCAGGCCAGCCAGCCAGCTGCCCACAATTACCCTAGGCATCCTACCAAGGCCATACTCTGAGTCAGAATGAAACCACTCCCTGATATGCCCCAGAAGTATGTTAACAACCTCATGAAACACACTTCCACATATATACACAATGCGTGCACACGCATACATGTACTATATGTATATATGTGTGTATGTGTGCACGTGTATGAGTGTTTTTATGTGTGGGTGTAAATAGGTGGGTAGATAAATAGTTCCTCTTTGGTTGACAAAGGAGCAGAGAAGTAGGTCAGAGTTCAAAACCTATTTACCCATTTTCTCTAGGGTGAATCATACTTTCCCACATACCAAGAGGGCATTTTTTTTACTGGGTAGAGAGAGAAAGAAGCAAAGGCCTGTTAACATACTATGTAGGTGATACCCCTATACGTATTCTTAACCTGCCCTCACCACAACTGCCTTCTCTCTACCTGAACAGAAGCCTTCCTACTCTAGAGGACTGAAGCATATTAGAAGTATTTTTTTTATTGTTTTCTTAAGCACATATTGTGTGACTATATTTATAATAAAGAAACTCTTAAAAACTGGCAAAATTAACTATCCCGTCAAAAGTCAAGAGGGTGGTTAGCTATCATGCGGGGATAGTACTAAGAAGGTGGCACAATTGCCAGTAATGTTGTATTGATCCAGATGCTAGTTATACAAGAGTGTTCCCTTCGTGAAGAATCAGTAAGGTGTACATTCATATGCACCAGCCTGCACGGATACTAAATCTCAAAAGAAATTATTTCTCTAAATTGAGCTTCCTAATAATATGCGACTTGTCATTAATTTATATTTATCTCTTCCTGAGACCTTAAGTTATGCAGAAATTACTTAGAACCATGGACTTTTCTCTAGCCAATTTGGACACCAATAAAAACAATCAATTCTACAAGCCTTATTAGTCTTTTAATTGTACTATTGATCAAATAGCACCTCCAAGCAGCTACATAAAACCACTTTTAAATTAATTATTGGAAAAAAATGTCCTTAATTATTTGTAGGGGAGAGCATTTTAACCTTCAGGTTAGCAACCCCTTGGTATGTGGATACAAGGGAAAGAAATCTCACTACTATATGCAGATCTTTCAAAAATATTTTTAAATCCCTTTTAAGAGCTATATAAATGATTATAACCCAAAGCCAAATGATAACTACACTTTTACTATCACAAGACTCATGAGTCAAACCTATTTTTATCTTTAGTTCTTCTCTTCACTCAATGTGAAAATGGTAAATAAAAATCACAGTAATAAAAGAGAGAAACCCCATAAAGCAAGAGGAACTTGGGATCAAGAAAATCTCCAGCAACACAACCTACAAGTCCCCTGAGCTCCCTTCTTCCACAAGGCTACTCATTTTCCTCCTGCCAAATTTATACACACCTGCATCACTTCCTTCCCTGTAGAAACCTGTGACTAAAGTAATTAATATTCACATGAGGACTGGACCAAAGTCTAACTCAAGACCTCTTACAAGAGAACATGCTGATTCTATCTGAAAATCTAATCAAAGCCTATATTGTATTCCTTTGATAGAATGAGTAATCTCCTTTTTTTTCTTTTTTTAAGTAGGCTCCGCACCAAGTGTGGCTCAGGGAGGGCTCGAACTCATAACCCGGAGACGGAGACCTGAGCAGAGATCAAGATTTGGATGCTTAACGGAAAAAGCCCCCCAACCGCCCCATTCTAGCCTTCTAATGTATGTATTGAAAAGTTGGGATGTTTAAGTAATCAAATGTTTAAGCAATAAAAAAGAAAGATAGCTTTTTTTTTCTACTTGTTTGAGGATTTCTTTTAAATCCTTGTTTAAAAAAGATATATATTCATGGCTGCATGTTACCAGCTGCAAATAACGAATGTCTCTTCACAGACACTATATACTTAATGCAGTTCTCAGTCACTGTCGTCCCCTTTGCCTTACTCTCACTATGGAGGCCTAAACTTGAGGAAGAGTGCCAAGAACGCCAAACAATGTACAGGAAGGAAGCATTCTGACATATTCTGAGAGACAGCTATATATGGACATCTCTGGGCCCCAACCTTGGGGTCCCTCCATTAGTTTAGAAGAATGGAATCCTCCCAGATCCCCACTATGTGCTCTAGCAGGTAGCTGTGGAACCTCAAGCTCCTTTTTCTCCAAATCTGAAATACACACAATGGTGTCTCTGCATCATGTGTGCTTCTGAGAGTTAGATGACACAATGCGCACAAAGCAACGAATACAATGCCCAACGCACAGCACACGGGCAATGATGGGTAACTACGTTCGCAGTAATCAAGATTTTCCATCTCCAAGATGACTTTATAAGATCACTTGACAAATACAGAATTTGCGGGGACTAATACTCTGCCAAAAACGAAAATTTATCTTTCAGAGTAATCCAAGTTAAATGTGTATAAAAACACATTTGAATGAAGCCTGGCTCCTGGCCTGATGACTTTCAGTCTCTGAATTCAGAACAAATACTTCACTATAAACAGCTTCTAAAAAAGATTATATGGACTTTGGAGTGACCTGTTACAAGTCACTTATGCTCTCTGAGCCTCAGTCTTCTCACCCATAAAATGGGAATAATTCCCACATCATCAGGTAATACTGAAGTTTGAGACGTTATTTGCAAAATGCCCAGCAGTGCCTTGCACCTTAGTTGATAATTATTGTAAAGCGGATGGAATAAGAGAAGTCATCAGAGGGCTTATACATAGCTCGAAAAATTCTAAGAGAAAAATTTTCATCTTCTTTCATTTTATCCTTCTTTGTAGCATTCTTACACTTTGTCTTCTGTTCTAATCAGAGGTGCTCCTCCTAATGCTACACAAATTGGTTTGATTTGACTTATCTCCATACTTTCTTCCAACCTCTACATCATCCTCCAAATACCTACCAGGGGCTTGTCCAGAGACAGTAAAAAAAAAAAAAAAAAAAAAAAATGATGCATGACAAGTCCAATGGCAGAATTTTTATATCACTTTAATGCAGTCTGAGGAAAGTAGGACTCTCCTCCAGAAAGAGGAAGAACAGAAATGTTCCTGGACTACAAATGACTGTTTATTTAACCACCAACGGGAGAAATGTCAGAGACAATATTTTGATTAGCTTACTTCGTTCTCTACTTTCTACCGAGATAAGAACGACATCTGAGAACAAGGCTTACCTATTTGCACCATTTCTTCATTACCAGCCTGCAAAGAAGGGGGGGGGGGGGGAGTAAAAAGAAACAGTTACTGGGTTTCATCTTATCGCCTTGTCCGTTTTATTTCTACCATTAATGCCTTTCAGGAGCTAAATCAGGAGATGCTGGAGACTGGGATTGGTGCCTAAAGGCTGCACCTCCCTCGGTTTGTTGGTTCTTGTGGCAAGAGAATGAAGCAATTCAATAACAGTTTGCAACGGGGGCGGGGGGGGGGTGTTTGCTCGTTTTGATTTTAATATTGATGCAGCTTGCAAAATAAACACTGACATTCAATATTCTTTTCTTTGAAACTCAGATATACTGGGTGAGGATTAGCAAAGACAGTCTCTGTGTCTATATGCGTGAAAAGAAACCCAAATTGGGGGGCAGGGGGGAGGGGGGGAGCTGATCTAGCAGATATGAGGCCAAGAATCAACCAGTCTTGCACTTTTTCCACCTATGGCCGGACCAGGCAGGCCAGGAAAGCTGCAAAAGCTCACGGAGCAATTCTGCGCCCCAAGTCCCCCGGGCCCGGAGCCGACGTGATTTACAGCGGCTCCAGGACTCCGCGAGCATCAGGCCTCACCTGGAGTCTCCGAAGGGTGGGGGCTGGGCCGCGGGGCCACCGAGCGGTGCTAGCCCAGCGCGGAGGGGGAGGGGAGCGGCGCGGGCGTCCAGCCTCTGCCCAGGAGGATGCGGGGCAGGAAGCGTCCCCAGCCCCCGCCCCAACTGTCAAACCCCAGGCTCGCGGTCCTCCCAGGACACGTGTCTGCTGGGTCGCTCCCGGGCCGGCCCGGGGACTTCCTGAACCCCCGCCCCCGGCTGCCGGAGACGCTGTGAGTCAGGGAGGGGAGGGGAGGGGAGGGGAGGGGAGGGGAGGGGAGGGGAGGGGAAGCCCCGCGGGCCCCGGGACGCAGCGCTCGGAGCTGCCCTGGGGCGCCCAGACCGCCCTCCGCGGAGGGGGGACCCCGACGGTCCCGCGAGGATGCTGTTGGCTGCAGTTTGTCCCCAGGAATCGTTGCGATGCCCCGAGGTGGGGAGGACGGGGGGGGGGGGACCCTAGGTGTGACGAGCCTGGGCTCCCAGGGTGGGAGTCACGACCCACGCCCGCCCTTCAAGCCCCCCCCCCACCCAGAGGGCCCCGCACGCTGCACCCAGCCCTCAGCCGCCGCTGCTGCAGGCGCAAGATAGCAGGGAAGGGGGGGAGGGGAGGGGGAGAGAGGGGAGGAGGAGAGAGGGGAGGAACTTTTTCGGGAAAAGGTTGGGTTTGAGTTTTGCATTGTTATTATTTTCCACTTACTTGTCCATCAGCTGAAGTCCTAACCTCTACCAGAGCGGCTGCTATCAACCAAAGTGACAGGAGAACCATCACGAGTCGAGGGCACTTTTCAACCACTGGGCAAAGCAAATGCCCAGAGCAAACTCCCCCCCCCTCCTCCCCCCACCCCCCCAAAAAAAAGAAAAAAAAATAAGTTTCCCTTAAAAAAAAAAGAAGAAGAAGAATTAAGAAAAAGAATTTAAAAATTTGCAAAAGGGGGAAAAATGCAGAGTAAAAGGGAAAAAGGAGTGGTCTTCTGTGATCTGCTTCAGTGAAAATGCAATCTGAGCCCTGAGACTGCCGGCCCGTCCGCCCGGCAGCTCCTCCCGCTCCACCTCCTCACCCTCGTCCTCCCCAGCGCGGTGCGGAGCGGGGAGGTGCTGCGGGCCGGCGCGGGCTGCGCGGGAGAGCGGGAGGGACCGGGGGCTTCCAACTGTCCCGGCCCCCCAGCGGCTTCTCCGGGGCTTTTCGAGCACCACTGGTTCCCGGGGTGGGCGCCGCGAACGCTCGGGTGCCCGCAGCACAGCAGGGGCAAGTGTTAGCGAGAGAGACGAGCGAGCGGGAGCGGGAGGAAGAGGCAGGCGGAGGGCGACTCCGCGGCTCGCTCGGAGGTGGGGGCGGGAGGAGCCGCGGGGGGGGGAGGAGGAGGAGGAGGAGGAGGCTGGCGGGGGCGGTGGGAGGAGTGGGGAGCCGCGGCTCCGGTTGCTCCGGGCTGCGGGCTGGGGCTGCCCGCGACCCGCCGGGCGCTAATAAGGCGGCCGGAGCCCCCCGGGCGGCCCCTCCCGCCGCGGCGCCCACGTCACGCGGGGCTGGGGCTGCGGCTGGGGAAGGGGCAGGAGCTGGGGCTGGGGCAGGAGCTGGGGCTGGAGCTGGGGCAGGGGAAGGGGCAGGAGCTGGGGCAGGGGCTGGGGCAGGGCGCAGGAGCTGGGGCTGGAGCTGGGGCAGGGGCTGGGGCAGGGGAAGGGGCAGGAGCTGGGGCAGGGGCTGGGGCTGGGGCAGGAGCTGGGGCTGGGGCTGGGGAAGGAGCTGGGGCAGAGCTGGGGCAGGGCTGGGGCGGGGCAGGAGCTGGGGCAGGGGCTGGGGCAGGAGCTGGGGCAGGAGCTGGGGCAGGAGCTGGGGCAGGAGCTGGGGCAGGAGCTGGGGCTGGAGCTGGGGCAGGAGCTGGGGCAGGAGCTGGGGCAGGGGCTGGGGCAGGAGCTGGGCTGGGGCAGGAACTGGGGCTGGGGCAGGAACTGGGGCAGGGGCTGGGGCAGGAGATGGGGCTGGGGGAGGGGCTGGGGCAGGAGCTGGGGCAGGGGCTGGGGCTGGGACCCGCGCCCCCCGCGCCCGCCGGGCTGGCCGGGGCGGGCGGACGGCGAGGACTGGGAGGGGCGGGCAGGCGTGGGGACGGTCCCGCGGGCGCCGGCTCGGGGCAGGGTCGCGGTTGCAAGCGCTTCTGCGGGGGCCTGTGCGGCGAGGGAGGGGGTCCACCCCCGGGCCCCGTCCACCCCCTTCCCCCGGGCCCCGTCCAGCCCCCGCGAGATGGGCCCGGGGAGGGGGCGGCCCAAGGGAAGCCGCGGTCCCTGCGGGCGGGACGGGTGGGGAGTTCACTATAGGAAGGGGGAGGGTCCAAGGGCAGCCCCGGGCTTCAGGAATCCACCCCCTGCAACCTCCGGCGTCCCCCCAGCCCGGGAAAGGGCTCCCCGGGGAGCCCCAGCGACCTCCGGCCTCGACCGCGCGCTCAGATGCCTCCAAACGCCCCCCGCGCCCCGTGGCGGTGGCCGCGGCCCCCCTCTAAGATCTTGTTTCTGTTTGACTCGTTGGTCTCACTTTTGCAAGATGCCATGTCCCTTCCTTGACTCACCGGATGCTTCGGTTCATCACTAGAGCACACAGGCCTCGGCGTCTCCTCCTCCCACCGAGGTTAAGCCATCAGATGACCTCTGCCCGGTGGCCGGGGAGGACACCTCCCTGGGCTCCGGGGGCCCTGAGGATGCGAAGACGCTTTGCTGGAATCCAAGCCCGCGCTCCCTTCCGAGGCGGACCCCTGCGGGCACTTTCCAGGGAGCGCAGGGCTGCAAGAGAAAGTATTTCCACCCTCCCCCGACCGGCCTCAGATCCTCCCTCTCTAGAACACACCTGAGAGGAGGGTGCTGAGGCACAGCTTTAGGTAGAATCCTCAAACCTTCAACTGGAAAGAGTCACCTAAAGTAAAATGTGTGGAAGCTAATGTTTACTTTGCTAAGGGATTCCTCAGGAAGTCATAGCTCCCTTTCTTTTTCGAAAACGGTGCAGAGTTTGGAGGTTTCTTACGCTTGGATTCGTTATTTGAGGGTTACTACATCACTGATATGTTGATGCTAAGTCTTCTAATATGGGACACTTAACATTTGCAAATGAGAAACCAGATAACTAAATAGCCAGATGACTTAAATACCCCAAATGGGGTATTAAGTTGATTACTTTCTGGGGTGGAATTGTAATTAGACCGCAGCACTGAAGTATGCTAAGTCACTTTTTCCCCTCAACTAAAGCCTCCAGCATGTTTGTAACCTGTCATTGACTTACTATCCAGGAGTGATTTGCTGAATTTTATACCTAGTTTTCTTATTCATTAAAAAAAATAATAATCTTCATGTTCTATAAATATAAAGTATGTCAATTTTCACTGACAAGTAAAAGAATACTAGAGTACAAGTCAGAAAACCTAGGTTTTAGGCCCAGGTTGGACTGTTTGACCTTGATAAGTCACCAAACTATTTTGGTTCCCCCAAGAGGTATTTCAGCTTTAAAAATTCTCTTATTTTAAGTAATTCAAAGACTGTATTTAGCCATGGCATTACAGTAGTCCTTTTTATGTTAAATTTTATGAAGTTCAGGCATTTGTCATTACAGTAACCCCTGGTACAACAAGCAATTCATGGGACTTTCATGAAAACGGTGACTTCTGACATTTTTGGCCATGACCACAGAGAGAAACGTATTTTACATTGTGACCCAGTAAAAGTTTCATGATTCAGGACATGCTACATGCAACAACTCTGTTATTTTCTATCCTATTTGTTTCCTGGGTTTCCCTCCAATACTGGTCAGGATCCACTTCATTGCTTTCACAAACCAGTAACTCATGACCCTCATTCTGACAAACACTGACTTAAGAGCTTATAGTTAGCTCTATATTTCTTGGATTCATTTAATGATTGGGCTCAGATTAATAAGGTTCTCCCAATATACTCTAAGACAAGGTTTCGCAAAGTATGTCCTGGAATGTTAAATGTCTTATACATGCGCGCGTGCACACACACACAAGAATTTTCAGTCAACTAAAGTGTGTGAAGTCCTCAGATCAACAACATGAAATGGATTTCTTTATTTCAGAACTTCACAGGGAGTTTGACATCCTAAGCACACTGAGTCTTCAAGAGGGAGGTATTAGTGCACTGATTTGACCACAGAATGCTTTTTTCTTAGGCTTTATCTTCTGAAGAACACATTACCTGGGGAAATGCCATTACAAAGACCAATTATTAAAGTAAAATGAACCCTGAGTCAGATAGGTAGGATTCACATGCAGATTCAGCGTTAGTTTCTCAATCTAAAATTAGTTTAACAATACTGCTTATGCAAAATGTTCATGAAAATTAACAGAACCTTGAATGTAAGTTGTTTAGCACATGGTCCAGAACATAATAAGGGCCTAAATGAAGATTTTTTTTTTTTTACTTGAAGCTATATGGCATATGTACAGATGGCTCAATTGGAATGAAATATGGCAAGTTCTAAGAAAAGTAGGAAAATATAAAGAGCTAAAATGTGGTGAACTTTGAATTTTACAAGAGATAATGTTAGGGAGTCAAAAGCAAACCAGTCATTAAGTTCCTTTCACACACTGACCCCTCCAGGCCTGCCTGGCAATAAATCACTTCCCTCCAGGTGTCTTTGCCTCCAGCTAGCTAATGCTGTTCCCACACTCAAGTCCGTGCACTAGCACATACAGGCCTTTTGGTCTGTAACACCCTTCCTCTTCCTGTCTACAAGGCAAAGGACACCCTCTTTCACCCCATTGTGCTCCACAAAAATACTAAACCAATGCCGGTAGTACGTTTTCTTCCAAAATATGTTTGAAGTAGAGAAACAATTTCAAAAGTAGTAACGTATTATGTAGTCTTCCTAATTGTGAAATCATTCCCTTTAAGACTTAAATTTCTTGAAATCAGTTGATGTATGAACATTTTAATCTGTCCTCATATTGGCAACAGTTAACTAAGCAGGAGTGTGTGTGTGTGTGTGTGTTTTCCAGTTGAGGTTGTCTGGTCAATGTTGTATATCTTGTTATAATATGACAATATTTTGATACACAATGCGTATTGTGTTTTAAACATATAAATTTTAGGCTTTTTTACAGCAAAAAAATTCATTTATAATTTGCGTTTTGCCTTTCTCACACTTTTTTTTTGGGGGGGGTAAGATTTGTTTTTAGAGCAGTATAGGGTTCACAGCAGAACTGAGGAGGAGATGGAAATTTCTCAAATGCCCCCTACCCCTGCACAAGCAGAACTTCTGCTTTTATTAGCACCTTCCAAAGTGTAACAAAAGAGTGATACGTTAGAATTGATGAAACTGCACTGACACATCATAACCACCCAAAGTCCACAGTTTATATATGGTTCACTCTTGTTTTTGTATATTCTATGGATTTGGACAAATGTATAATGACTGTATATCCATCATAATATCATACAAAGCATTTTCACTGCCCTAAAAATCCTCTATGCTCCACCTATTCATCCTTCCCCATCCCCTAGCCCCTGATAATCATTGATCTTTTTTATTATCTCCATAGTTTTGCCTTTTCCAGAATGTCATATAGTTGGGATCATGCAGTGTGTAGCCTTTTCAGATTGTCTTCTTTCACTTAGTAATATGCATTTAAGTTTCCTCCATGTCTTTTTATGGCTTGATTGTTCATTTCTTTTTAATTTTCAGTAATATTCCATTGGCTGGATATACCCCAGGTTATTCATTCAGCTACTGAAGGACATCTTGGTTGCTGCCAAGATTGGTAGTTATGAATAAAACTGCTAGAAACATGGTTTCAAATGTATG